GGTGGGGTGGGGTGGGGGACAGACACGGGAGTGGGTAGGGAGGGCCGGTCGGGCTCATACTTCTCCTGAGTCCCAGTCACAGATGCTGTCCACTTGCAGGGGCTGCTTGGGGGGGTTCCTACGCTGCGGCAGTGGCGCCACCTTCCGGCTTTGCTGCTGCAGCTCCCCGACAGCCCGCTCCGCCATGGCCAGCTGCTTCTCCTCGGCCTGCTTGGGACCCAGGCAACAGGAGCTCAGGCAGGCTGCAGTGGATGCTACCTCACCCCCTTTGCATCTCCCAAGGGGAGTGTGGCCTTCGTCAGGGGAGAAGTCTAAATCAGACTGGCTTCGCACTGATGGAGGGTAAGGACACTGGCTAGCGTCACACAGGCCTCCAGAGTGGCAGCTGTGGGGACCTCAGAGCTCTCCCAGATGGCACACTGGAATCTAGGAGGGTCAGGGCTCCTGCTGGAGCAGCCTTTGTTCTGGGGCCTTGGGCCTGAACTGGGGACCTCGTTCCTGGAGACAGTTCCGTGCCTAAGGACAGGACACAGATGGCCCCGTGGGGCTGGGTGGGGTCACCTCACCTCCAGCTGTAGTAGGAGCTCCGTCGGGGAGCTAGAGGAGTCCCCAGGGACAAGGCCGTACTTGGTGTCCAGGTTGGAGTTGAGCTTTGCCAGGGTCTGGTTGACTGAGTCCGCCTCTTCCTGGAACTAAGGTCACTGGGTAGTCAAGGGCAGAGCCGGGGGCAACCCTGCTACCCACTGATCCTGCAAGGTAGCTGGAACACTGACCAGGCTAAACTCATCCTAGGATAAACTTCAAGTCAGGCTAAACCCACGCCAGCTACCCCTAAAACCAGCTTAAAACAAAAACAGGTTAAATCTCAACCAGCTAAACAAAGACCAACTACAGCTACCCAGGCACCAGGACCTTTTTAAAAGGGTGTGTCCACAAATGGGACAGTTTTGGTTCATTGAAAATAGCTTTTAGTGTGTCATAAGACAATCTGCTGTTTTTTGTCCTCAGGGGTCTGGTGCATGTCGGTCACGTCTTCTACTACTGAGCTACACCTGTGGCCATTTTATCCTCTTCTTCCTTTTTTTTTTTAGATAGGGTCTCAATAAGTAGCACAGGCTAGCTTCAAGCCTCAAGTCTGTCATCCCCCTGCCCCTGCTTTCTGCTCCAAGTGCTAGGATATAGGTGTGCCCTTTCAGCCACAGCCACCACACTGGACCCCGTCTGTTATTTTATTATTATTAATTTGTTGTTGTTGTTGTTGTTTTCTAGACAGGGTTTCTCTGTGTAACAATTCTGGCTGTCCTGGAACTTGCTTTGTAGACCAGGCTGGCTTTGAACTCACTGAGATGTACCTGCCTCTGCCTCCCAAGTGCTAGGATTAAAGGCCTGGGTCACCACTGCCCAGCCTATTACTACTTTTTGTTGTTTATTTGAAACAAGGTTTCTCTGTGCAGCCCTGGCTGTCTGGAACTAGTTGTATAGACCAGGCTGGTTTCAAACTCCCAAGTGCTGGTATTAAAATCCCTCCCAAGGGCTGGGACACCGCCTCCCGACTACTATTAATTTTTTGAGACAGGGTCTCACTATGTAGTCGTGGTCAGCCTCGAACTTGCTAGGTAGACCAGGATGTCCTTGAGCTGATGGAGATCGGCCTGCCTCTGGCCTCTCCAGGCACCTGTACTAATGTGCACATATTCACACTCATACATATGTACACATAGCTTAAAATAAATTTAAAAAAAGAAAAAAAGACGAAAAGGAAAAACAACCCAGGGGCTGGTGATGCAGCTCAGTTTGTAGGGTGTGCAGAGAGGCCCTGGGTTCAATCCCCAGCACCACATAAACAAGGTGTGGTGGCACATGTCCCAGTGCCAGTCGGCACTTCAGAGGATCAGAAGTTCATGGCCACCCTCAGCTAGATAGTGAGTTTGAAGTCAACCTGGGTTACATAAGATTCTGTCTCAAAATAATTGATTAATTTTAAAAATTAGAAAATAAGCTCACTCTGTAGGGGTGAAATCACCCTGCAGAAGAACCCAGTCTTATTCCCCCACGGGGACCTAGGCACAGTGCCACAGCTCCGTCTTCTTAGTGGCCCCTGCGATCTGTGCTGCCCTCAAGCCCCACCCCCCGGCTCCCCAGCCCCAGGCTCACCCTGCGGTAGTCCTCCACATGCTGCAGCTGGTTCTCCTGGCAGATGCAGAGGTTCAGGAAATTCTGCCACTCCATTTTGAGGGCCTCCTGGTGGACCTGGAGCACAGCAGGGGGGGCGCTGGAATCTTGCCACACCCGCCAGACCTCCATCCTGTTTGGGGAGCAGGGGTTGGGGGGCATGGGCGGGGCCTCCACACCTGGATGGGCCCAATGGCTGGGTGCCCAAGCTGCACCATGCGCTCCGCGTCATCCTCCAGCTGGTTTATATTCTGCTCCTGGGCCAGCAGTTCATGCTGCTTGAAGTGCTAGGGGCGATTGAAGTGGGGACAGCAGCCATTAGCAATAAGAGAGCCCTAGACACCCCCACTGCCGGGGCCTGTCCCCACACACCTCGTACTCGCGCCTCACACCAGCGGGGTCAGGCATGAGGTCATTCCAATCCTGCTGCAGGATGCGGCCTTGCTGCTCGGCCAGAGCATTCAGCTGCCGAGTGCAGCCCTGCAGATGTGTGTACAGGCTGCCCAGACTCTGCCGGCGCCATGAGGCCGCCTTCTGTGCTCAGGAGAGAAGGAGGTGGCAAGAGGTGGCATCAGTGCCCTCGGCGACCCTAGGAAGGGTCCAGGCGAAGCGGTCCCACCAACAGCAGCACCCAGACCCCGTCCGTCTCCCAGCTCACCAGTAGGTCACGGTATTGGTTCCTGATGGTGGTGGCATCCTGCCTCAACCAAGGAGAGAAACGAGGCCAGTGAGAAGCCGGGTACGGTGTGATGGCCCCCTGCATAGGGGCTCCTCCCCACCAACACCCTTCCCTTGAAGGCCAGCAGCCCATGTCTGGCTGTGATGGGAGGAAGGAAGGCCCACACCAGGCTGGACAGGGGTGCACTCACAGGTCCCACCAGGGTCCGCAGCTGCTGCCCGTAAGCCTCGATCTCCCTCTGCAGGATGTTGTGCTCAGCTACCTGCTGCTCCAGCTCTGCCATCCCGGGCCCATACTGACCCTCACAGACCAGCTTCTGTGGAAGAGCCAGGTCCTCAGTCCCACCAGGAAGGCCTGGGGGCTACAGTCCAGAGAACAATTCCACACCCCACCCCCACAGCCACCGGTGCCCTCCTCACAGCAAGAGAAGCAGAGTTAGTCAGAGAGGCAAAGAATGGACCGGCCAGGTGAGCAGCGTGGATGAATGGCCGCTGGTCCCCATAGCAGGGACATGCCATTCTCATGTGGCCATCGGGACTAAGGCTCAGTCCCACTGGCTCTCAGGACTCAGGTCTCACACTGCACTCTTGTGTTATTTGTGGCCCGAAACCTCAGCAGCTGCTGCCTGAACTTGTCCAGCCAGGACCTGCCCTCCCCCACAGTCCCTGGTTGTCATCACAATGACGGCTGCTCAGTGTCCTGTGGCTTGGTATGACTACTGTCCATCTACCCCACTCCTCCCAGCAGGAGGCTCTGTGCCTTCCGGGGTGGGGGGTCCTCCCTCTTCACTGTGACCCAGCCAAGTCCTCCCACTTCTCAGTGCCTTCCCCGGCTGCACTGTCTTCCTGCTGGCTACCCCCCTGGGTCCCCGAGCTAGCCCCGGGTTCAAACTCAAAGCCCCGGTAAATGTCTTGCTCTCTGACTGCAGCGGGTGTGGCTTTGAGCACCTGGAGAATGAGTCCATACACGGGTTCCCCTAACCTGTTTCTGCTCCAACACCCGCGCCCAGTCGACCCTGGGCCCCACATCCGGCGGCAACACCATCTTCTCATACAGGGCGCGGTACTCTGCACACTCCTGGGTCACCCGCTCGTGTAGCTGCTTGATGCTGCCAAGGAGTAGCCACCAGGTCAGAGCCGGGCTGGCTCTCCACGGCCCCCCACCCCACCCCCACCCCCGCGCGCGCTTCCGTTGTGAGCCCCAGCTCACTTACTCCTTCTCAATCTCCTCAGCCTGCGGGTGCTTGAGCCGCCGAGCCTTGTCTACGTCCAGGAAGAGATCTTTGAGCAGCACCTCGGCCTCCTTCAGGTTGCGCCCCGTCTCCTGCTGGTGCTGCAAAGCCTGGTTCTGCTCACCGTTCTGCCGGTCCTGGTGTGGGACACGGAGCCACATGCTGGGCCCAAAGCCTCACGGCCATGTTCTTGCTGACCTGCCCCTGCTGGACTGACTCCGCCCTCCCTCCCCCTGCAACCCGGCCCTGGAGGGACCCTGGTTGTACCAGCCCACCTTGGGGACCATCAAACAGAGGGCTGGGGCGTCCATGCGGCAGGTGGCAAGGACTCCTAGGTCAGGTAGCAAAGGTCCTTCTATTTTATTCCCAAAGTAGGAAGCATGATGCAGAAAGAAAGCTGAGCCCTCCCTGCGACTGGGGTGGGCTATGGGCGGTTGAGGACTAGGTTGTCCATCCCTCTTCATAGAAGGAATCTGGGGGCGCCTAGGCATTGACTCTGGGCCTCTGTCCCCCGTCGTCTCCCCCCCTCCCCGTCTCCTCCCCCCAGTTGCAAGGTCCTTACTTGCTGCAATTTCTTCTGAGTCTCCAAAATGTCCCTCTCCACCTGGTCAGCGTTGGCTTGCATGCGGGAGATGAGCAGGGCCAGCTCCTGGGTCGCAGCCCTGGTAGATAGTCAGGGACAGAGGGACACATTATGGAAAGGCCCTCTGTGTCTGCCATGTGGGATCTCCCCTGTCCTCCCACAGGGAAGAGTCCATGGTCTGAGCTCTGAAGTGCTCAGCCCTGCAGAGGGTTTGGAAAGTGACCTTCCAGGGCTGTGTGCTGCTCCAAAGCATGTGTGCCTCAAATACTCCAAATCCTGCCCAACCACCTGCCTGCACCTTGAGGTGGGTGGGGAGGTGGCCCAGGGAGAAAGTCAGTTACCTAAGATAGCCTGGCTGCCTTCAGGAGGCGCAGCTGGACCCAGTGGAAGCAGGGGAGCAGAGGCCTCTTCCCTCACCCCAGCTTCCCCCATTCCAGCCCTGGCTGCCCCCACCATCCTTCTGCCCAAGGGGCTTCAGCAGTATGGAAACTCTAGTGACTCCCTGGAAGAACCAGTGTTGGGACATGGAGAGGCCAAGAGATGGCTGGATACCCCAATATCCTCCTGCTGATTCAGGGGCTCAGGAGCCTGGCCTCCAACCTGCTTTGCTTTGTTTTGTTTTTTTTCTGTTTGTTTTTTCTGTTTGTTTGTTTGTTTGTTTCGAGACAGGGTTTCTCTGTATAGCTTTGTGCTTTGTGCCTTTCCTGGATCTTGCACTGTAGACCAGGCTGGCCTTGAACTCACAAAGATCCACCTGCCTCTGCCTCCCAAGTGCTGGGATTAAAGGGGTGCGCCACCCCTGCCTGGCTCCTGCTTTGCTCTTTAGTACACCCTCAGGAAGCCAGTTGCTCAACCCCCAGGCTTCTTCCCCAGGCACTCAGTGTCCCCCACTCAGTGTCCCCCACTCAGTGTCCCCCACTCAGTGTCCCCCACTCAGTGTCCCCCACTCAGTGTCCCCACAGAGCTCTTCAGAGCCCCTCTGTGGGCGTGCACTCTGAGGGAGAGAATCGGCACACTTGAAAAGGCATCTGTCCAGGGCCTCTGTGCACAACACCCTGCAGGAGTCACAGGCCAGGTGACCGGGAGCTGCCCCTGGACCCTCAAAGCACAGTGCCGGTGAAGATACGGCCTTCTGAGAAGGCTATGGCCAAAAGGCCTGGGTTTGGTCCTCCTTACTAGTACTCGGTACACAGCCAAGGTTGGCTTGGTCATCCTGCCTCCCCTTCCCGAGGTGCTGAATTTATAGGCATATGCTACCACATCTGGCTTTACTTATTATTTTTTTTTTAGCCTTAAAAATACAAACAAACTTGGTCTCAACAATTCTCGCTCATACAATCTCTCCTCTTTCTCGCCGATTGGATTCCTGGAGCACCACCTGGGGCCTGGCCGTGGATCTCTGCATCCACTTCCATCAGTCATTGGATGAGATTTCTAGCACGACAGGGTGTTTGGCCATCCGATCACCAGAGTAGGTCAGTTCGGGCTGTCTCTTGACCATTGCCAGTAGTCTATTGTGGAGGTATCTTTGTGGATTTCTGGGGACCTCTCTAGCACTTTGCTTCTTCCTATTCCCATGGGGTCTTCATTTATCATGGTCTCTTTTTCCTTGTTCTCCCAGGGACAAATAGCCAAACTAGTGGAAACACATGAACTATGAACCAATAGCTGAGGAGCCCCCAACTGGATCAGGCCCTCTGGATAAGTGAGACAGCTGATTAGCTTGAACTGTTT